ATTGCTATCAAGAGCTATAAAACCGTGCGTGAAAGACGTATGGTCTCTACGGATACAAGACACTGAGACACGAACTGTGAATAAAATTTAAATATTAATTAAAATATATAAATTATATACACGTGCAATGTAAAAATATATATATATTTAAATAATATATATTATATAGATTTATCGATCCTACACAAAAACCCACGGAAAACAACACCTTCGTGTGGAACCGTTCGTTTCACACACACAGATTACCATATGATAATAATATATATTTCACGGCTTCTCATATTAATTTTCTAGGATAACCAGCCACACATATAATGCTAAATATTTTAACATGCCATAAGCATTTTATAAATAATTAAAATTTCATCGGAAAGATGAAAACATTAATTTATTGTGCTTTAAATATTTTTAAATTAATACCTTATGCCTACTATGTTATGCCTACTACACCTAGTAATAAATACAAACAATAGCGAATCAACTATTTTTTCGGGTAAAAAAAAACTAGGCAGTTAGTAATAGGTAGTAATCTATTGAAATTTCCTTTGGGTTAACATCTCTATTATAATGATACAATTTTTAAGTACTATTTCTTGTCATTAAACTTGGAGACCGTACTATATTTTAGGTAGTAGGTAATCAAGCCCGGATCAAGAGCTTCAGGGGCCCAGGGGCCAATACATGGTTGTGGGTCCCCGTCAATAAAAACAATTCTTTAAAATTATAAAATTATACAATAAAACAAATTTAAACATTTTTATTTAAGTATGATAACGATTGATGAGGATAAAAATATTAAAAAATAATATATTTTTATTAAAATATATATTTACACATAAAATTAAGTTTTGCTTATGTAAACAGGTTTAGTCGGTAGGTATCTGAATCATGAGTATCCATGACCGAGACAGTCACATAAACAAATTTTCCCAATTCTATTTTTAAATACAGTAATATCAAAATGTATGCCTATTCCCAACAAACACAAACCTGGCTATGACGCTATGTGTCCCCACTTACCATACTATTGGTGGTATGCACGTTCAACGGGCCCCATCGGCTGTTAGCTCAAACAAGAAAAAAATAAAAATATTTTTGTAGGTACTATAAAAAGTACAAATTATCACTTAATGTAATTTTAAACCGATAAAACTATGGGCCCTTATTCCTTAACACACGTGGGCCCCGGGAACTTGGCCCCTCCTGCCCCCCCTTAATCCGGGCTTGAGTAGGTTAAGTATTAAACTTATTTTTTTTTAAACAAAATAAACCAATTTTATGGGTTATGGCTTAATAAAACATTCTAAAACTCAGTGGGTCGGTACTTACCTTATCCGTCACATAATAACTATCTATTTACACTAGTTATTCGAACAAACCCTAATTAACCTTTTTTTTTTCCTAAAGGTTGAATATACCATTGGATGAATATAAAATAAACCATACCAACAATGAACTTTGACTCAAACTTTCTATAACTAGTATCACTACTTAATACTGATGATGTACAAAAAGGAACATACTGATTTGCATATTATAAAATAAATTAATATAAATACATCATATTTATAATTTTTTTTAAATGTGACAAACACAACATTTTTTTTAATTGTCACAACACCAATCTTCAATTATTAACAGTACTTACTAGGTTTGTTCTAAAAATGTCGTCGACTTAACGATATACACTGCTTTCTGTTAAAGTTTATCGTAAAAACTTTAGGTAGATTAACCTAAACGGCTAGGTTATATATTAGCCATTAGGTATATTGAACGTGATTAATACCTTGTATAGGCAATTTCCTCATATTCATGACCACAAATAAAGACTCCTCTCAAAGTCATATCAACATGGCTGCCCGGATCATTCAAACTTTCGGTCCATCTCCCGAAATGCCCGGAAGAATTGCACCATAGCGTCATCATCATAATCGTCATGTTCAGATAAAGTTATGAATATCGAAGGAAAGTGCGCACTGGTAGTAGACGGAACGAATGGCGTGGGCTTTGCATTTGCAGAAAAGCTGTTGAAAATCAAAGTAATAAATTCTTTCTATAATGATATATAATATACTTATATACCTTAATATTCTGTATCAATCACACTGTTGTTTCTATAGCGATGCATATTGCATACCCGCAGACATGTTCAAATATATCAAAAAAAATTTTGCGATTTTATAGTAGGTTTCTAAAATCCAAGGAACCATAATGGCCAGCAAAAATATTAAATTTAGAAACATCATTGTAAACCACACGTCAGCCCTAGGACTTGATCCGAATTCGGACATGATTGCTAAAACGCTGCTTCTGCGGGTTTCATGATCACTTACACGGCTTTTGGCGTGAGTTTAGCACTTTAGCATCCTCTTTTATTGTTTTAAATACCTAAGCATCAAAACCAATGTCGTACAATCAACGTAGACATGCTGAGTGCTTACAAGGCGTTGTTATTTCTAGCCAAATTTCAATTGCTAAGTTCGCAGCTTATTTAGTTAATTATGGACCTAATAATACACTATGGCTATGCCAACAAATCGGAATATTGAGTTTGGTGGAGTTACAAGTAACTGGTGAATTCACAGAAAAGTACTATCCAAATATAATTACTTCAGATTGAAAATTGTGATTGATTATTTAAAAACCAAATAAAAAAAAAAATTGTATTTTTGATAGACACTTGATTAGGTAACATATTTAGTATACATAAGATAAACTTTTGAAATATCTATAATATATATTATTAAATTATAGGTAAATATAATATAAATAATTGATTGTTTATTTGTGTAATTTATTTATTTCAAATATAATCTGAATAGGATTTTATGGTACCTATATAAGTATCTTATATCTAATAAGAAATGGAAGATTTAGGCATAATATTATGATAAAACAACCTCAATCACAAGTTGATTATTTTTATACAAATAGATTTAAAAAATTTAGATCTCAATGGCTGTACTGAGTCAGTCAGTATTATTTGAATGATGACACTAATATTATAATCTTACTTCAGCTAATATCCCAATATATTGTAGAGTTTTAGGTAAGTACAAGTTATACTATTGGCATACTTGTATTTGTTCAAATGTATAAAGAACTTAATTTGATTTCCTATGATAAATATTAAGCATACATTATTGAATTTGTATATTTATAATGTAATTTTAATTACATTTATAATAAAAAAGTCTATTATATGTTGAGTGTTGTAGAACTAAACCTTACAGAGGAACTCCCTCAAGTCAACTTTTATATTCACCTATAAGTAATACTCATGTATTGTCTTTTTTTTTTACAAAAGTACAATATAGCAATTTTGTGTTCAGCAATTTTAATTTTGTGTTATGAGCTTTAATTATAGAGTAAATTGGTCAATTACCAAATTTAAGATAAGAACATAAACTATATTAATTTCTAAATTAGTTACGAGTACCCATGTTAAATATTAAAATTAAATAACTCCCTTAAATTGTTTAAAAAATATTGGTAAACCCCACGAGAACACATAGATAATGTTCTAACCATAAAGTTTGATAATAGACAAAAGGTAAGACTTTAATAGATCCATTGTCTATTTAACCTTACTACATACAATTAGAACTGCTGAACACAAATTTTTAATGATATACATTTTGTAAGATGAATTCAACACAAGTGCTGCAGTTTGCATCCACTAAATTTATCAAGTTACTAACAGAAAAATAAATTGTAATTTTTAACATCTATTGAAAATTATGAATTAAATAAAAAATAAAATATACAATTTGTTCAAAAAAAAATAAATTATGATAAAATATCATACTTGATTACATTATTGTAACTTATAAATATAAAAGTTAACATATAATGTAATAGCAAAGAAGTCTCAAATAAATCATGAAAATTAAAATATTAATAAACAAAAAAAATACATTTTGTATGTTTTATTTAAAAACTATATATATATATATATATATATATATAAAACAATAATATTTTATAAACACAAACATGTTATCACAGTCTAAAATATGCTATAAGTGAATAGTCGAATTTCAAAGATGTAGCCAAGTCAAAAAGGATAAAAAAAACATTTAGATTCCTTTACAATTCATTGAATTACGCAGGACTCTGAAACAAAATATGTATTTTATTTTTTAACCAATTGAAAAATACATACAATTAACATTTCAAATAAAATATAATAGTTATAAAAAATTATAAAAACATAACAACGTTCTTAAAATTAATAGTACATTGATTGAACATATTTGAAAAATATTAAATAACTTTTACTATTACATCATATTTTAACAATTTAACATGATTTTCAGTCTTCTTGATAAAAACACAAAATCATTTAACAGATCTTAAGATTAAGAGAATGCAACAGTAACTTATTATAGCTGCAATACATATTATCAATACCACAATTAATTACTCATCTAAGTACAATATTAAGCTTTAATTTATCAGAAATATGAAGCGTTTTGTTCGTAAAATTTTATTTTATAATTTAAACGTTTATAATTTGCAATACAGGAATTTTAACGAGACAATAAGCTTTATTTATTCATCAGCTACTCTTTTCATAAATTATAACATTTTGAAAACTTCACAAGAAATAGTACCACATAGGTTTTAGCATTAAGAGGAGAAAAAAATTATTCAGATATCATAGATACTACTATCAATAAAAAATGTTTAAATAATAAAACATGTTCAAAAAATATTATAATAATACAGCAATCAAAAATTTATATTGTTTAGGAAATTACTAAAACATTTCTTTCAACTTAAAAAAAAATTTTAGTTCAATTTTCATTACATTTTGTTTTTAAATAATAATCTATACATCGAACACCTTAAAAATTGTTAATGTTGTACCCTCTTAATTTACAGATAATATTTATTAAATATAAATAAAATAATTGGACATATAAACAATGCCAACACTTAAAATCAAACATGCGCAACTCATTAACAGGCAATTACCTGCAAATATAGCATGAAACATTATTATATGAAAAAAAAAACTATATATTAGTTTTTTTTAAGCTAATATAAATAGTTGAGTATTATTTTTTTTCAGGGGATAAACTACTTCTGTTATTTGTTCTCAGAACTAGTCTGCTAACTACACGGAACAATTTTGGAGACTTCTTATCTGATTTACCTTTGGATATTGAGGAAAATCCATCAGGAACATCAATAGATTGATCATTAACTTTTTGATCTTTAGCTTGTAATAATGATTTAGCATTTTCACACTGACTTGTCCAATCAGTCACCTAAGAAATCAATAATCATAAATATAGTTTAGTTTTAATGAACAACATTTTAAACTATATAGTTTTTAAGTAATTTTGATATGTTTAATGTTCATGAACTTACCTGTTTGATAAGTAAATTATATCGAATACCCGGAGGTTCTTTTTCTAAAAGCTTTTCCAATAAATTCAAACTAATTTTATACTTCTCGAAGGCTGCTTCATATTGTCCTTCAACTAAATACATTTGACCAGATAATGCAATTTCTACTGCATTGGCTAATTGAGGTGTGTTTTGACATAACGATGCTGTAAAAAAGTAAACAATACAATGCAATACTGGATATTGAATAATATAATAAAAAGCTGTAATTGACAAAATGATTTTAATATGTTAACCGCCATGCAATAGATTTTTGTTATATACCAGGCATATTTACATGGATTTTTTTTAGGATGTTCATGCTGATATTTTTAGATTCAATACTGCTATAAATATAATTTTAATACCAACCAAATTCTCATGATTTTTATTCTATGGTGTTTTTTATATTTAAATTAATACAACGCCAAAAAAATATAGCCATATAAACAAAAGTAGAATTTACGACCACTGTTGGTCATACGGTGTGAAGAGAATGGCTGTATATGATCATCGGCAACCATAAATGAAAATAATTGAATACAGGGAGTAGTCATATGATAGTTAATGTGTTAATATACATATAATAAAGAAAAATGTATAAGGTATATTAAGCGAAATAAGAATCTTTGTTTATTATTTTTAAGTCTAAACAAATTGGTCTAAGTGTAAAAATAAAAATAATTAAAAAGACGAGTTTGGCTTCAAAATCTCTAAATATTATATTGCAACTATAATTTGTAAATTAAATAAATTTATAATTTTTACTTAATGTTGGATAACGGTCATCATCATATGATGTTGAAAAGTTGTCTGCTTTTTCTTCATTAATTTTGATTTTTGAAACATATAAAGTGGCTTTCAATTCTTCTGCGCGCTTAATGTACTCATTCAGTTTTATTTGAAATGCTTCTTTTTTAATTTTATCGGGTTCGTCTACACAAAATGTATGAATTAATATAATATCAGTTTCTTAAGTATTGCATTTTCTTTTTGTTTAATAATAAAAAAATTATTATCTAAATATCTTCAATACTTTTTTTTGACATTCAATTTTCAATTCTTGAATGAATTTGTAGCTCTAAGATGTTCACAAAACATTTAATTTCAATAATGAAAATAAGACAATTTAAAACTAATTATAAAGGCCTTCATATTCATATATGTATTATTTCTATTTAACTAACATACAATATAAAACATAAAATTGGTTTTATTGAATTATTTTGTAATCTAAGACAAGAGGTATGATGTAAACATATCTAATTTACTACTACTAAAATAAGCTGAAGGATTCTCAAATTCTTAAAACTTTCAAACATCTCAAACTTAAAAAGTGGAAGAAAAATGTTAGTTCAAATCTGAATTTGAGTACAATGAAAAATTAACTAAATTTTTTTTTTTTTTTTTGGGGGGGGGGGAGGGGAGTGTAAAAATACATTAACTATTACCTTAAATATTGTAATTCTTGGGTCAAAAATTATAAAAAAGTTCCACTCATCCTTGCTTTAATGAGTAATTCATGTTATTTAAAGCATAAAACAAAAAGTAACTGTTTTTATGAATTCATAAATTAACTGTGTTATCTCCTTTATTTACCCATATTTTATATTTAACTATAGTAAATTAATAAATATTAAAATTATAAATCCTAAATTCTTACTTCGAGAACAAGGAATCAAATACTGCAAACCTATGCAATATTTACTAAATGCAGCTTTATATTGCTTTTCAGAATCTAGTTGAACTGCCTGGTGAATAGCTTCAAGTCCTTTAGCGTATGATTCAGTAGTAGGCATATGATCTAAATCTACAAATGGGTGTTTAAAAAACTGACAATAACTCATTCGTTCAGATGGATTGTGTTTGAGAAGACCCAATAATAAATCTCTACACTCTGGACTGACTTGATTAGATGGTATTTCTATTGGTAAGACTTTTTTAACCTTCTCACATAAATCTTTAATAGAGTCTGAAGCGTATGGAGCATGCCCAAATATACATTCATAAGCAATCACTCCAACTGACCAAAGATCTGCTTTAACATCATATCGATTATGTAGTAACATTTCAGGAGCCATATATAGAGGTGAACCACGAATATTTTCCATTTGAGTTTTTTCACTCATAAAATTTGCTAAACCAAAATCTAGAACCAAACATTAAAATTTCTAATAAATTATAAAACACAAAAATAAATTAAATACTTGAACAAAAATAACTGTAAGTACAAACCTCCAACTTTCAAAGTTAGCTGTGGTGACCTCATTAGGAGTAAATTTTGTGGTTTGAGATCAAGATGAGAAACATTATGAGACCTTAAGAACTGCAGAGCTAAGGCTAATTGTTGCATGAATTTACGGCATACTTTTTCGGATAGTTTTTTACGTTGTTTAATAAATGTTGACAAATCACCCCCGTCACAATGTTCCAGTATAATGTAAATATTTTTACGATCCCATATAAAGTCGATCATTTGAACAATATGTTTATGTTTAAATTTTTTCATCACTCCTATTTCAGTTACTACAGCATCTTCTGCACTCTTGGACAATTTATTGCGTTCTATAACTTTTATTGCAACCATATTTTTGGTTTTCTCCTAAAAATAAAAACAATAACCATAAATAAAATAATTTTCATAACAATAAATTAACTGCATTAGCGATTACTGATGACACATATGGAAATAAAGAACAATATTTAATGAACTGAGAACAGTATTCAAAACAAAATCAAAGATGTAAATATACATCTTATTTGAAATATTCTGTCTAACACTCATTTCAAGATCAAATTAATAATGAAATGATCCGAGTACATACCAGGTACTTAGTCCAAGTTTCTCCAATCAACCAAAAATTAATTGCAACTTAGAATATATTTAAAATTTAAATATAAGTAGGTACCTTAACGTGAGCTAGATACACAGTTGACGTGCTTCCTTTTCCGATATTTTTAATTATTTGATAACCCTCGACTTGTGGAAAGGCAGACATTTTTTATTAATTATCTATCTGCAGACATAAAACGTTGTTCGTAAAAATATCAAGAACACTATTAACATTCGTCGCAATTAATCATCACATAAACTTAATAATTAAAATGATCGAACACAAAGAGCTTACATAATATTTATTTATTTTTAACATAAATCAATGTCACAGCACTTTAATTCTTAAAATGTTTATCATAACGAGTATTCACTATTCACGTCTTGTTACAACTAAAAAATAATCAACATCATTACTATAGTTCAAATACTTAGATTGAATTATCGTCATCTTGTAAAAATAACAAAGTGATTTCCGAGTGGCCAGACCACTGCCTAGCAAGTAGATAATCGCGTCTTACGAGCAGACAGTAATAGAGTAATAGACGAATAACGAGTTATGAGTTATGACTATATATTATATAAGTTATAACTATAGAAAGTGGGTATACACTATACTAGAGACGTGGTTACGACTTCCTTTCCGGTTTCTAAATTTCACGTTAGAATTGATTACCGTAAAAATGCGCCATAAAATTGATAACGCGAGGGTTGTTGTTACCAGGGTGTCCAACATGATGAAAGAAATTTCGAAGTCGATAAGAAAAAAATTATCGTTCGTGGTTCATCAGCCATCTCTTCCTTGCATTTTTATGTAAATTCTTAGTTAGTTAGATACCTACTCTTAGTCTCTAAATTCTATGATTTGCATATTATATAACACTATATTATGTTTGAAATAAAGATTGAAAGTTAGAAAAATAACAAAAAAATAATTCAATTCACAAAAATATTAATAAGTGCCATTATTTTTTTTGTTTAAGTATTAGTTTTGTCTTCTGTGTCATTATACTTAATAATAATATTTTATAATTACGGAATGTAAATGTGTTCAAACTACACTTATTAATTAATTAATTATTACCACCTAATTGGGATATTTTGTCAAAAGTATGTGTTTAAAGGGTTTGGATGTATTGATAATTTTGAATGAAATTTGAAGTAGTATTTGGTAGCAGATACTGCTTCTGTTTTAAAATCATTACAAAGCATATCGTTAAATATAATATGTATGGTTAGAATGTAAATGACCTTAAAAACACTAAAAAATGCATGAAAACATGCACAATAAATATTAAAAAATGCCCTTGAAAAAAATTAAATGTCTTTTTTAAATTACTTTATTAGGTATTAATCCAAAATCTATTTCTAATCAATTTACAATACTATTTTTATAACTTTAGACTTAAATAAAAATACAAATAAAAAAAAAAAAATATATATATTAATATAAATATATATATTTGTATTTTTAAATACAAATACATACAAATATGAGATTTTTGAAATTAAAAATATATGCATCACCACACTATCGCGATCATCTTTCATAAACATGATTATAATGATTAATAAACGTAGAGTTATAGTAAAGATAAATACGTAATAAAAATAAGTTAATAATATAAACTACACGTTTTTCTCGTTTTCGTTAGTTATGAAACCAACAATGCCTATCTATAGGTACATATTGATGTTTATATTATATTTAAGTTATTTTTTGGACAAAATATGCATTTATTTACACATTTTTGGCAGAATATGCATTTATTCATAAAAATCCCTAAATATGCAAAAATATGCAAAATAAAATTGAATATAATATCTGATTCTATGCCATACAAAACGAATTTATTACTGGGTTTGCTATGTGTACGACTAAAAAAAAAATATACAAAAGTCATAAACATCCTAACCCTAATAATATGTAAACTGGGTGCAGAAACAACAAAACATAGTTATTGATTGGAATGATCAACGATTGGACTATTTAGTTTTTTCTTGTTGCCTTTAAATAATAAATCCAGATTAGTGTCTTATCAAGAACATCTTAAATATTTTATACCAGAGGAAATAGAAATGTGTTCTTTGAAAATTTAATGAGAATACCTAGGTTTTTTAAGTAAATCCTACATAATTGTATATGACATGTTAGCACTAATAATATTAAATAGGTGTAGTAAGAGGCAAAAGGTCAATTATTTGTGGCATCTTTGCTTGTATCATTTATATAAAAGTAAGAAGAAAAATAATTTAACTGTCAAACTAAAAAAGTACAATTGTTGAGTTAAGATTTAATTAAGAAATATGAGCAGGTAAAAGCTGTCTGTAAAGTAAGCCTTTATGCTAAAAACTATTATATACATGTAGTATTACATGTGTGTAGTGTATTTAAAAATATGTCAAGACAATATTGTTTTATTTTTTTTTTTTAACGAAGATGAAATCAGATCATTTCAATCTATGACATCTTATATTAATTCTTGTTTAATACTTTTAAAATGAATGCACATTTTCCTTCAGTTCTCTATGATAATTTTTTTATTTCAGAGGTTACAACCATAAAACTTTGTTAAACTGATATTTTAAATCAAAAATTATAACTATTACTTAGATAAATGAATCATTAAGAGGACGTCGCACCTGCATGTGTTGTCTCTGTCTTACATATGTATGACTCGGTGAATTTTTGTTAACCAATTTCAATAGTGTGTTTTTAGTTTTGATATAAGAGTAAATTGACCTGTTATCAAATTTTTAATTAAGAACATTATCTGTACTCTCTTGTTGGTATTTTACGATATTTTAAATTTTAAGTGAGTTATGAGTATGAAAAATATTAATACTTGAAAATGCTATTAACTCACTTAAAAATTAAAATATTATAAAAAACCAACGAGAGAACACAGATATGTTCTTAATTAAAAGTTTGATAATAAGTCAATTCACTCTAATATCAAAACTAAAATAACTTTTATATTTATACTTAAAAGTTGTAACAACTGTATAAGTATACTGGAAGCTTAAATTTTTCCAATTCCAATGGACAATTGGACAAATTCATACTTAATGTCATACCAGTTATTTGTCACCTGTATTAATTCTCATGCCACACACACATGACAATGTATTTATGCCAAATGAAGGATTAAAAAATAAACATTGTAAAAAATAAAATGTATTTATTTGTTTTGTATTAATTAATCAACTGTATAAAAACATATTACTTAGGTAGTAGGTATACCTGTTTAGTTTCTATCTACATGTACATAATATTATATGCACACACATTAATTTTCTTATAGTAACATATTGCTTAGATTTCGATTACATGAATATCTACTAAATATATCAGTAAATGTAATGTATTGCTTTACTTAAACAGTTTGTTTATTTATCAAAAATTAAATTAAACAAATAATAAAAAATTATGGGGAAAAAATACAGTAGGTAATCAAAAATTTAATTTAATTTTTAAATAATGTAAAACATAAATCATATATATTAAAAACTTATCATTCAAATAAATTACACATTTACGTTTTAACACTAAAAATTAAAATATAGCAAAGGAATATTTTTCCAAAGTGATGGGCACAATAAAATTTTAATAATAGAAAATAAAACAAAGAAACATAGAAACATGTAAATTAAATTTTGGTAACGTAACTTATTGCACACAAACATACTTAATTACATCATTGTCAAACACTTCTGATTAATATAGATATTAATTAAATGGTTAAAAAAACTATTATTAAGATTCTCAAGTTTGGTAAATATTTTATGGTAAGTAGACAGAATACATATGAATAATATAACACAGAAATATAATAATTAAGTACAATTATTTGAAATAGAAGACAATTAGCCCATCACTGTGCATTATATTATTAAGTACGAGGTATTCTAAAAGAATAACCAATACCGAACACTGATAGAATTTGAAAAAAAAAATGAGTTTTTTAACAATAAAACCCTGTACTACATATAATTGAAAATTTATAATTATCATATTCATTATTTACAAACATAATGTTAACTCTATTTTAAGATCACAGTATTCAGACTGTTCTGAATTTATGTTTTAAATATAATTTTCTTCATACTTAAAAAATATTAAAATTAGAAAAATATATCTACAAATTACAATTCTAAAATATTTAGATTTCAATTTAATCTAATAATAGAATAAAGGTAAAAAATACCTAAAATGTCATAAAAACAAAATTGTATAGGTTTGGTACACAAACTTTCAAATTATATTAAATATTTTTAAATATTTACAAAAATTATATTAACTTCTTAGATAAATATTATAGATAAAAACTTAGAAATACTTTCACAGACGTTTATATAATAATAATAATAATAATAATAATAACTATTAATGATCACCCCTTAATAACTCCATTAAAAGATTGAAGCTTTGTCCTTCTCCTTCCTTACTCTTAATTGATAACATTTCTTTTCCAACCTAATAACAAATCACATAAATGAATATAAATTTAATATAACTTCAAATCTCACTATTTACTAGTTAGTATAAAATTAGGCCAAGGATGTATAATAATTAATAAAATTATAAAAACATTAAATTAGCAAATTTAATATTTTATTGAATGCTAATCTCATCTCACCATTAATCCAATTTCATAGGATAGCTACATAAAATGATTTAATTGTATTTGAAAGTTTAAATACATGCTAACATTCACACAATTTTACTTAAATCAGAGATATTTCAACTTTTTCATCCCGCGGCTACTTTGTCTCTTCACAATAATTAAACAGTTCCCATATTATTAATGATATAAAAATATTTTTACATTGAAGGAATAGTGATGGATGATATGATAGTAATGAGATTAATAATAAAAATAACTGCAATATTATTTAACTAACCATCATAACGTGGTATGAGTCAACAATAACATTATTTCTTTAATAATATTCTAGTTTACTATCAACAGGATATTATTATTATCCTTTTCTATATTTCGGTTCTTTTGACTAACATTTGAAACATCCATTAAAACCGTAACACACAGTTGGAATACCTCTGACTTAAAACCATTTAATAATATGTCATATTTACCTGACAAGTACGTTGTAAATCAGGTATTCTTAACAACAATTCTCCAAATTTAGATGGCATCTCTGGATAATGTGTCAGAGTATACTGTTGCAGAGCATGTAATGCTTTTTCCTGAGAAGCACGAACTTTTTCTGGTTCTTTTAAATCATTTGTATCTGAAACCACAATTAATACAATTAAATACATCTGTTTGTAAACTACAAATACATAAATTACTTGTTTAAATATATTTTTAAAGATCAAACTTAACATATCATATTATACCTGATGATAATAGTACAATGACTTTCATGGCTACATATTCATAACGGTCTACTCTCAAACGTCTCAGGTGCTGAGTGAAATTCAACATACGTTCAATACAAGGAGCTAAACCTAATTCTCTTGCTTGATCTAAAGAAATAGACTTGCCCAGACTAACACGTATTTCTCCAGGGCTGCTAACTGATCGATAACAACAACTGAATAACAATAGTTCACACCAAGCATTTATCAATAGCGATATTTGATCATCAATCTAAAAAAACCATTTTAAGTAATTATATTCTTTACAT